CTCGCGCGCAAGATCGAGGTCGGCCTGAATGACTTTGGGCTTAACGTTTTTAAGTAGACATTATTCCTTGCGTTAGAAATATTCGATAATGTGCGGTCCAGGAATTTTTCGGCTCGCTGAGTCCGGATCTGCCTCTTTCGATTTTGAAAGTTCAAGATGGCGGACTCAACGTGGCGGCAAAAAATATAAAAACATGGATCCATCTTGAAAATATACAGTGGCTATTTGTTTGGATTTCTTTTGGATAAAAAAGATTGCACTTTACATTTTACATTTACACATTACAATTTTTACAATTACATTTTACTTTTTACATTTACAGTTACTTTTCACATTTCTTCTTTTTATGGAAAAAATGTTAACGACAGAGAGTCATGCTAAAGTGCTGTGAAAATGAAACTTGCGCAATGATTTTCATAAAAATGATCGCGGAGACTGCATTAAAAAGAAAAAAAGAATTGCTATAATTTTGACTATTTGTTTGTTTGCAATATTTTTACAATTAACAATTAACGATTGAACACGCTTTTGTTAAACTCGCCAGTAGAATAAGAAAGCCCGTACTTTTCGTCGGAAAGTTCTCGAAAAAGTGCGGGGAAGCTAAAAGGAAGCAGGTGAGACGTTGGAACGTACCGCAGAGGGAAGTGAACTGTCCCGACTTCGTCGTCGCGCACGCTCCCCTTTCTCCTCCTTCCTCGAGACGCCCGTCCTCGCGCGCGTCCTCGCCCGGCATCTTTTATCGGGCGTCGAACAATACGTTGACAAAGTCGCGCATAAATCGCGGCTAAGTGCGCGCGTCCGAGCGACCGGGCGAGGGGGCCGCCGATATACGCGTCTTCGCTAATCCGTATTAATCGTCAGCCATTCATTAGGAAGTCAGCAATGGGTGCCGCGTAATTCTGCACCTGGCGCACTCCCGCGATCAATCGCGCCCGCGCTCGCTCTGCTGTTCGCGCGCGGCGCCGGGCGCGCCCCTCTTACCATAAATCTTGCCGCTAAACTGCCGTTGTACACTCGCGGAAGACAATGACCAAGTAAGCACAACGGCACAACACGGCACGCCGAACACAGCACGGTGCGTCCCTACAGAGAGTGGCAAAGCCGGAGCAAACGCGCCTTGGCGGCCGGTTCGATGAGAAATAACGACCGCCTTACTGCAGTCCGAATGCGTGCCTGCCCGCCGGCTGCTCGGTCAAGCTTTACTTTCGACGAGTTCGATTGCGCCGGATCGACCGGAGAGCTGGCGCTGCCCCGCCAGCCGTTTCGAGAAATAACTCGTTATCGTTGCCGTAACTCAAGAGGCAACGACTGGCCGTTTCCACCCCCCCCCTCCCTCCTGTGCGAATTTCCGTCACTTATTTCGCCGAATGTCCGACGCCTTTTTTATAACTCGCTGCCGCGGACCGCAGCGAAGTAACGGCGAAGTAGCGACGAAAGTAACGATTACATCCGATATCGTACACCCGCGACGAAACGTAATCTCGCGTTATCGCGTCGCCGCGACGACGAATGAAAAAAGAGAGAGAGAGAGAGAGAGAGAGAGAGAGAGAAGCGAAACAAAAAACGGGAAAGAAATAACATCGTTTCAGCGGGAGTTGTTGCTGACGAAAACGTAACGTGAGCGGTAACGACCGTTACAAGCAACGCGAGTCGCTTCTCAAGCTTGCCTATCGCCGAGCGAAAATCAGATCCGGCTAAATCGCTTCAGAGAGAGAGAGAGAGAGATTGAGAGAGTCTTTTCTCTCCGGGGACTCGACGCACTTCCCTTCTCCCTGCCCCCTCGCCCTCTTCGGACCTGTCCTTTCCTCGCGTTCGCAATTTTCTCTCCGTTTTCTATCCCGTACTCGTTAAGCGTCAAGATCCGCTCATTTCGGGCTCGTCATCGTTCGCGGCAAACAAGTCTCCGGCGTTCTTTATCCGACTTGAGACGAGGGACACTTAATCGGATCTTGAGATTCCATTCGAGAGGGAAAGAGAGAGAGAGAGAGAGAGAGAGAGGGGGGGAGAGGGATCTTTCGGTTACAGTTGCACCTCCGTTCCTCTCTCCCTCTTTCTTCCTTCTCTTTCTCTCTCATCATCTCTCTCGTTCTCTGTCTCGCTCTTGTGATCCTCGCCGTTATTTTCCATCTTCCATTGTTATCGCGCCGCGAAACAAAGGTAAACGCGAGTCGGGCGGTTGCGCGATAAGACCGTAAGACGGCCTTAATGATGCTGGCGCCTCGCCAGGATCGCACCGCCGCGCCGGCTCAAATGCACCGATTGAAATGTTCATTATCGTCGCAAATCATCCGGCCGATTCGCGGAGAGAAGAGCCGGTTGGTTGTGCAGCACGCAGAATATAACAGGAAATCGTCCGAGTAATATTATATAAAATTTCTCTCTCTCTCTCTCTCTCTCTCTCTCTCTCTCTCTCGATCTCTCGGCGGCAAAGCTCGACATATGGCAGGCAAATGCCGGTATCGACCGTCGAATCGACATCCCTACCGTAAACATTCGATCGTTGACGTCAACACGCTTCTAACGCGCGGCAAGCAGAAGCAACGGAAAACTCCAAGATCGTGTCCTTTCAGATAAAACTTCCACGGTAAAGCGAGTGGTCTTAATTTATTCAAAGCTTTGACTAATTAAACTCCTTGCGGTGCATATTTCCACCCTTTCTCTCTCTCTCTCTCTCTTGCTCCTCCTATCTCTAAAAGTTTGTCCTTAAAACTGGGCGCGATGAACGCACCTCCAATCGTATAACTGCAAAGCGCGTCGCCCTCTTCTCAATTCATACAAATCCGCAATCTCCGGATATCTTTTTCGTCTTGTAGAATTCCGCGAAACAAATTAAATTAACTTACTGTAGAAAAGAAAAAAACGCTCTACTCGTTATTCCTTTTTTCCTGATGCATTTAGGGTTGTTAAAAACAGAGACTGACGCTTTGCGACACTATCGAACCGAGTTTCACGATATACCGTCAACTGAAGCCTGCCGAAGCCTCCAGCGAACCTCCTCTTTGTCTACGAGACAATCGATATTATCCGACCGCGAGGCTTGAAAATATCACGGACGAATCCCCCTTACGAAAGGAAACCGCGACGTCCGGCAAAAATGCGACAGTCCCGCCGCTGCAATCCTCCCAAAAAACTATCCCGGTGATATCGATGAGTGCATCGATGAGCCGCACGCGCTCGATCATTTCAGCATGGCCGGAGCCGCTCAGTGCTGCCACCTGCCGAGCGGGTGTCGGCAGTTGAATGACCGTGCTTGACGCGATGCGTGAGTGGGGAAGCTGCATTCCAGACGCACTGCTTGGACGCGCTACGTGACTGAATCATTGAATGCATGGCGTTTGTTTACTTCCGCGTTGAGGCTGGTCAGGGCTTGGCCGACCCCACCCGCGGCCATTCACCCCACTCCTGCGCGCGCGAGCGGCCGCTGCCTGTGGACTCGGCGTTACCGAGCGCGAGCGTGCCGGGACTTTGCAGGGCCGTAGCTCGTGAATGAGGCGCTGCGGAGATGCGAAACAAGAAGCAATGCTCGATGGACGCCACGCGGTTGGTCCCTCGCCGATGAGTCCGAACCAGTAACGACACTCTCCAAATCTCGCGTCTCCAAAAATGAACTGCACATGCGCAGCTGTGTTACCTAACCAAAAGCGTTACAGACATCTTTTTCTATCTCACTTTCTCGCAGAAAAAATATACTATATGTCTCTCACTCTAATTTATCAGTTCAGCAGCTTTTGCAGACCATCTTTCTGTCACAATTGTTAATTTCAACTTCTGCTCCCTCTTTCTCTCTTTTCCTCTCTCTGTATATATATTTATTTAAATTTTTATTAAATCATATGGAGTACGATTCATTAAATGTTGCAAATGCTTTGAACACCGTATAATAGCCTTCCTTTTAGCGTTCAAAGCGTTTGTAGTCTCAAATAGATTCTGCTTGCCATTGGTTAGGTAACAAGGTTACGCATGTGCAATTCATTGCTGGAGACGCTGACATCAAAGGTGCCGACAAAGAGAGTGTCGCTACTGTGTATACTGTGCCCGAGCGCAGGGCGGCTGGACGTCGCGATGGATTCCAGTCGGGAAACTCGACTGTGCATTATGGCTGCGCTTATGTCTTTGTCTCTCTGTCGCGACAGATGCCGCCCGGATTTCCGTTCCTTCGTCTCTTTTATCGATAACGATAAAATCTTATTACTGTGGATTGGAGCGGAGGAGTAATCTGCTGAAGGCGCGTAGAACGAGCCGGATTGGACGAGCGCTTTGTATCTGTTTCGTTATCGTTCGACTGAGTACTTCGATATCGCCCTTTGCGACGTTGCTTTTCGATATAAACATAGCGATGATCGAGTTTAAAAATTCTCGACGAATTTATGTATATTTTGTCGCTACACACAAATATGATCATTTTATTTTTAACTTGCAACCATCACGAGTTGCAATTCAACGTTCACGTGCTTCAATATCTCCGTGGAAAAACCTTGAGCTATTATAATCAAAATGTCATAATTAAGTATCATTTCCCACTGAACTTTCCACTGAATAGTATATTTTTATGCAATAACCCGTAGATATTTTTAAGAACTCCTGAAATCTTTTATGCACATCCAATGTCCCTCTTTTTATATTCCTTCTGTAACTTGCAACCACCGCCAGTTGCAATTCGTATTCAACGTTGACGTGCTTCAATATCCTGTAGAGAGATCTTGACGAAACATCAAAATGGTAATCTACCATATACACTGTCGCTTGGTCCGTTCGGGTAGGCAGGAAACGAATCGTCCTGACAAATCCGTTGTCGCCGATTTTCTCCTCGACAGGCATGTCGCCGGGGAGATGACGGGACTCTTCTGGAACTTGTTACAGCGACTAGCGAATTTATGAGAGGCAGCCGCGCAAGAACGTCTCATTATTTAGCGCAGTTTCACGGAGTTAAGAGATACTTAATCCCCAGGGCGAAGTGAACGATTCGTTAATCGGCGACTCCCTTTTTCTTCCTGTTCCAGACAAAGCTCCCTCGGAGGCGTCCTTCAGGGGCACCGAGTATCTCACGATAGACCTGAGCAAAGGGGATCCGGTGCTCAGTACACAGGAATCCATAAGCCTCCAGTTCAAGACCAGACAGCCAAACGGACTTTTATTTTATTCCGGTAAGTGTGCTCATTGCATGCGTGCGTACGTGTGTGTATTGCGAACTTCGTGGTAACTTCCCTTCTCATGGCGTTTTCACTTCCACTCACGGATTCCGGGTGCCGAGATTCGGTTGCGTTCGTCGTCGCTAGATCCTTGGCGAACGCTCAGGACGAAGGCACAGTATAAGAAAGAACAGTAGGTTCACTCAGCGCAAAATAGTGCGAACGGTCGTTTGTCGCGCATGACCGAACTGCACAACCAACAATATGGCGGCCAATAGCTGTCAAAATGTGTAAGTGTAAGCAACGATTAACCATATGACCGAATTTTTAATATAATATTGTTGTTTTATTAAAATCAGTAAAACGAATGAATGAGGTGGGTATAAATGTTGTATAATGAACTGCAAAAGTGCAAATTTTAATTTGCAAAGTGTTAAATTTTGTTTTAATCCAAATGTATCCCCTTCGAAACAATACAATATAAAAAAAGGGCGGACGTCAATATCATTTAGTTTTCGAGATTTTTTATCTGTTACGTTCGAAATTTAGCACCCTGTATATATATACATCTTTCTATATTATAATTAATAATATGCTATATATTATTAATTATAATATTATTAACATATTATATTAATAACAGTTCATATTTTTATATTATTTTATAATGTATATTATAGATTTGACAGTAAATATTGAGAAACAGCAATAAATCTGTTTTAGCTACTATTCATTGTCATTCAAATTATAACCCGCGCACAACCAATAACATGGCGGGTGTGTAGCATCTAAGATCAAAAGTACCGCCACCGAGTGAACCTACTGTTCTTTCTTATACTGTGACGAAGGGTTTTGCAAGAAAATATCGAGAGGCCGGCCGTCTCGAAATCGTCCTGCTGTGCAAACCACTGCGACGTGCCGACAGCGAAATGACCAGCACACACATTAATAGAGAAAAAACATTATTAACTCGATACAAATTATAGTCGTTTCCGGCGACAGCTACATCTTTTGTCATTTCAACGAAGTACCAATGTGCACGTTGAGTTATCATTAACAATACGATAGCTCTTACCATGAGAAATGGTTGGAAAAATGGATGGATACAAGAGAGATAGAAATTGTTGATCTCGCTAAAATAACAGTAATATTCGATGTTAAATATATATCTTATTATGCGGAAAAATAAGTAGCATTTTAACAAATATAAAAGTTTTTCTTAATCGCGATAATATTGCAGTAGCGTATTTACAAATACTTGCTCGCAAATACGCTTTCTCCTCGGCGTAATTATGAATTATTTCACCTTCATCCGGATAAAAGAGCCTCTGAGGCTCTTTCATTAAAAATCAAATGTAATGAACGTAATAGTAAATAGTCTATCATATGTATTAATGTTACTATTTTAGTAAAGAAATAAACTGAGTTAAAAGACGAGAAAAATTTTAGTTATCAGTTTTAGTTTTATCAGTTAAAAGTTTTAAAGTTATACTCCGATACACTATCATTTTTTTTTTAATTTGGCACAAATATAGAGGAACGAAAAATATTAAGATCATGTCTTTCCATTTTTGCCAATTTTTGGTTTTAAACATTTTACAGGTATTTCATGTAATTTTTTTCGCTTCCCTGTCATCAATAATAAACAAAAAATATATAAGAAACAAAATTAAATGTAAGATATAGATATTTTTTGGATCACGGACTATGAAGTCAAATGTGCAAAATTTGTTTAAATAATAAAATGTTTAGACAAAGTAGCTAAAAGGTTGAAAGAAGTATATATGTGCCTCGAAAATTAGGTCTTTTATTGAAAAATGTTTCGTGCAAAAGTTTTGTAGTTTCGCGAGAAATATAACATGGTGTCATTAGTTTACTTTTTAAAAGTGGTCGAAAGTTATGTGAAGGTCACTTTGAAATGTGAACCTCCATTTTTCATTGCATAAGTTATAGCTTATCTCTAGAGCTTTCCAAAGTACTATAATAGTGTGTTTTCGTGAAGTGCTTTTAGAGTTATAAAGCTTGGAAGTTACATTATTGCCGACTATTAGCATTATCCATGGCGTATCGCGCGGAGGTTGCACGATCGGATGTACACCTCCGGTGTATGTGTATGTATGTGTGTGTTATAGCAGAGATGTTCGTTATTTCCGTAGCACTTACCGATTTCAAATGTTCTGCGTTGTGTGCTGTATTTTTATTTTTATTATTAAATGTAAGATCTTTTATTGATTTCTGATGCATTTTTATAATTTTCATTCATTCATTTATTCTGATTCGTATTTATTCTCATTCATTCATTTTCGTAGTTCTCCGATATATATTTTTTTTCTTTCAAACTTCTTCTAGAATTTTTAAGTTGTTAAATCTTGAAAATATGTACAATAGTGTGTACGCTTAGAATTTTTTGGATCAAAGAAATGCTTGATATATTTACACTCTGTGATGAAGATACCGGTTTGTTTTCGGAGACACACACACACACACACAAAGAGAGAGAGAGAGAGAGAGAGAGGGAGGGAGAGACAATCGGTCCGACGTCCGTCTAGACACGTTGCAGTGCGATTTTTGCTTCCGGAGCGAGCTATCGATCGTAGAAACGGATGATTAATCGAAAACAATCCGGGGGAGAGGATCACAATAGAGTTGCATTTAATCAAGTAACTTGCGGATGGCCGGATATCCTCCGAGGGAACACAGATAGACAATAGCGTCGTCTTGGACAATGGTCGCATATTAAATCTTTGCGATAACTCCTTCTCTCGTGGCGACATTATAGCCAATTAGAACGTTCCAGTAGTACGGTCGGCCGGAAGCGCGGCCAACCAGAGAAATTTTCCGTCTCTCTTCCTCCACCCCACTCTCTCTCTCTCTCTCTCTCTCTCTCTCTCGGTCTCTTTCTGCTCCCTTCCGCTTACCATTCTCCTCGCACTTCTCTCTTCCTTCCTCCTCCGCCTCCTCCTCCTCCTCCTCCTCCTCCTCCTCCTCCTCCTCCTTTACCTTCTCCCTCTCTTCCGCCCCCTCTTTTATTTTATTTTACGACGCTATTGCGCCGGCTTTTACCTGGGCTCGATTAATCTTGGCTCCGAAAGTGTTTCACGTGAACTTTCCTGAGCAGGATCCTCCTTCCCCCTACCCCTCCGCCGCCTCCTTCTCCTCCTCGCGTGTACATGTACCGGCTGGAGTTATCGAAAACTGATCGAATCGTTTAATTAGCTTATCCCGCATCTCACACCGGACGAGGCGCGCGTAGCGCGACAATTCCCCGGGTGGGTTAGTAGCGACTCGATGACCCCGGCCGAATGTTGTCCGGGCCGGCCGACTGCGATCGGATCCATGCGATTTATCAGGTCTTCGCAGCGCCGCTGGTGGTCTTACCTGGCGCGTTAACGGCGCGGCTGCTCTCGCGCATTGCGCCCCGGATGCGCACGAGCGCCGCTACTCTCGCAGTAGTATACTTACGTAATGAAGGGCGAAATCAGCGCAAGACGGCTGAGAGACTGCACCATCCGCAGTCTAAAAGGAGGAGTTTGCACCTCTGCTCCGGTTGCAGCGGCAACTTGAAACCTATATATCGGAGCCGCAATGCCGTACCACCGACACACACACACACACACACGTACTTGGTCACGTGCACACACACACACACACACACACACACACATACACACGTAGATTCCACACACGTGGCACTCGTTTCCACCTTGCATCTCCGCAACGCGTCAGCCGCCAGGTAGCTCGTTTGTTCTTGAGATAAGCCATAATGCGGCCGCGCTCGTGCATATGGATTATTATGCGTATTTTTGCCGACACGCAGTGAGTGTTGCGCGCACCGCCTAACTTTCCCTCCTCGAGATCGCGAAAATCGCGCTCTCCGTCCCCCCTCCCGCCCCCCCCCTCCCTGTGAGAAAGAAGCGCCCGCGTGGGCGAAGAGCGATTTTCTTCCGAAGTTCTACCGCTCCTCTTTCTCCACTCCCCCCCCCTCTCTCTCTCTCTCTCTCTCTCTCTCTCTCTCTTTCTCTGCATCTATACTGCGTCTCGAACAGGCCGCTCCGTCCGCTCTCGCGTCGAACTGGCGTCGCGCTGCGATGCGTTAAATCCGCATCGGAATTGTCTCTCTCTCTCGGCCGAGCGTTCGGCGGTAACTAGTCCGCGCGCAACACGGCTATGCAAAGACATTTCTCGAATATAATGGCTGGGATTTGGGGATTTGAGTAGCGGCCGGTTCGCCCGGGGAATAGCGTCGGTCGAACAACGCGTCGCTCTCCTCCTCCCCCGCTCCCCCGCAACAACGAATAACAATTTCGGCGCGCGCGCGTACGTGCGAAGGGAGAAGGCGGAAAGAGGCGCGTATGTGTGTGCGTGCGAGTATGACGCAATTATTAATCACATCCTAACAATGTCGCTCGTTCCCCTCCCCCGTCCTTCTCCGTATAAAATACTCGCCGCGCGCGGGAACGCGTCGCACTCGATATTCGCGCGGATAATGTCACAAAGGTAATCGTATTTTTCCATATTTGCCGGCGAGAGAAAGGAGAGAGAGAGAGAGAGAGAGAGCCAGAGAGAGAGAGAGAGAGAGAGAGAATACTTCGGATTACGGGCGTACGCGTAATCGCTTTGTAAGCGGGACCGCGAGGGGGCCGCGTGAGCGAGGCCGGAGGGCGGGGGAGGGGAACGATGTGGAATGAAGATAAAAAGGTTACTTGGGCAAAAAATGCAACAATTTATCAGTTATTCCACGCACGGGACGGCGAGAGACGAGATCGAATGATAATGGATTTATGCGGCACAATTTCCGCGTTCTTTTCGCGCGACGGGAGAACCGGCGCGGGAATTAGCGGCGCGATTGCAACGTAGTAACGAAATCTGCGGAAACCAAGCGCGCGTTTTCCGCAGCCTCGGCCGGCATTCTCTCCGCGCGGCTCTCGCCGTGCGGTTTCGCGATACGGTTCGCGACCCTCGTAAGGAGATAACGACAGATAAATCTTATCCCTGGGAAATTAGTCGCCGAGGGTCGGCGCGGGAGAGGACGCAAGCTCCGGTTGTTACGTCCTCATCCCTCGCGACGGAGCGATTGGGAAATCGCATGCAAAGGGCGGATCCGAGCGAGTCTGAGATTTCGCGCCCGAACGAAGGGATAGGTCGCGACTCGGAGCGCCCGTCGCGCTCGAGAAATCATCGCGAAGCTTTCCTTCGGAGACCGAATTTTCCCCTTCCCTCTTTGTCCTTGCCCTATTTTCCTGCTCCTCATCCTCGTTCTCGAGTTGCTCGTTGCCCCTCGTCGCTTACTTCGATGAAGCGGACTGCAATGTTCGCGAAACGTCAGGAACGAGTCGCAAAAAAGCAAAGAGAGAGAGAGAGAGAGAGAGAGAGAGAGAGAGAGAGAGAGAGAGAGAGAGAAAGCGGCGCGACTCGAAGCCGACGGTCATACCCGGCAAATTGCCTCCGACCTTTTCTCAACGCCCGCTGCAGTTCCTTTCGCTCTTTTCCTTTCTTCTCTCGGGCGAGGGAAGGCCGCGGCGTTCGAAATCGGGCAACGCGTAATCGCGCGACGGAAGCGCGAGTTCTCGCTGCCGATTTCCCGGCGGATGAATCCGAGCGCGCCGGTATCGCGCGCGGCGTGTAACGCGCGCGTTATCTCGTCGTCCGTTTTCAGATAGCGATCCGGGCCGCCGCGTGTTGTGCAAATAAACGGACCACGCGGCGGCGGCGGCGGCGGCGGCGGCGACGCGAGCGCGATACGCGCGTAATGCACTTAGGCGCAAATGCAAATGCGCGAGCATCGCGCTGCGTCGCGCCGGCGAGCAATTAAGTCCGAAGTACCGTCTGCATCTTTTATACGCTCCAGTGCCCGGCCCCTGGCCGCGAGATAATTAGTATGCGGTCGCGGCCCGATTTTCAAGCGACTGCGGTAATATCCGAGGCCGTCGTTTGCGAGATTCATGAGCGTAACGACACGTCCGCGCCCGTTTGCACAGCCGGCGTCATTCCCCCCCCCGCCCCCATTCTCTCTTTCTTTCTCTCTCTCTCTCTCTCTCTCTCTCTCTCTCTCTCTCTCTCTCTCTCTCTCTCTCGCTCTCCGATCCGGGTCCATTTTTTCGCGCAGCGACTGTCCGCGAAGGCGAGGAAATAATAGCTGGATTATTAGATCGATTCCGGCGAGGGAGGGGGCGCGGCTGGCGCGTGAAAAGCGCGCACGGAGTCTTAATTTATTCTTAATTTGCCACGGCACGCCGCGATCGTTATTTTCCGCGCTTGTTCGAGCGCTGTCCGAGTCCGAGTGGGAAAACGCCAATCGCAGCCGCGCGCGCGACCATTTTCCGACGCATGCACTCACACGCACACGCACGTACACATACACATTCGCATGTACACACGCATATAGAGGATGTTTAAAAAACAGGATTCAGGATCTCAAGGGCATGATCTCACGGAAAAATTTTTTTCATACCAGCACAGCTGGCATTCCGAGTGCAAAGGCATACAACACTCACAAAATGGACGCAAAAAGTCCTAACAAACGTGAGTCGAGAAATTAATACTGTCGGAGTTGTGAACAATTATTTATTTCAATTGAAGCAAGTCACTTGCTCGCTTCTGCTGCACAGACACACTTGTGTGAATTGCATTTCTGCTATTTCTTCATCAGAACAAGACGATGTCATTCTTACGGTACTGCGAAAACGTTGTGGTAGCTTTGCACAAGGATACGTGACTAACAATTGCCTGGTGAGAAGTGTGTGTGTGTGTGTGTGTGTAAATAGGAAGAAAATAGACGTTTGTTTACATTCCGTGCAAGAGCGAGGAAACTCTTCTTAGGTAAATGACACCGACCGACACCGAGTTACATCGAAGAGAATACGAAAGCGCCAGGAGTAGATAATCATTCGCTTCAATTGAAATACATGATTGTTATTATTAATTTTTCGATCCGTGTATTTATCAGGACCTTTCCCCTCCATTTTGCGAGCACTCTCTGCTCTCAAAGTCCTGAACCCTCTTTTTTAAACGCCCTGTATACGCGCGGTGCGTTTCGCTGGCATGGACGGAGCGTTTAATCGCGAAAATATACTCTCCCTCTCTCTCTCTCTTCGTTCCTGTCCACCCCCCTCTCTCTCTCTCTCTCTCTGCGTGTCTCTCTCTTTCTCTCTATCCTATCCGGAATCGTCTTAATCCTCCGACTAGTTGCGAGCACTACGACGTAATCCGCGAGGATTCCCAAAAGCGGCCGCCGCGCGATAATTATTAACGATGACCGCGCCGGCGGACGTTTTAACCGGACAACCGGATACTAAATGCCCCGAAACTAACGTTAAACGGTTAACGTAATCGATTTGCACGCGCCGCTTCGTGATGTAATCCGACGGCCGAGCTCGGGGACGACAACGAGGCCGGAGGCCGACGAGGAGCAGCCATGTTGTGCATCATCGCGACGTGCGAGAGGTTAAAAAGTTACGACGAAATCTGCGCGCGCGTTGCCGACCCCTCCTTTTCTCCCGTTTCCGGGCAAGAGGGTTAACGCGGTGCGGCCGACGCGTAAAAACGTTAACGCGTAAAAACGCGGACGAATCGCGCCCGACGGACAGTAATGCCCCGCCCGTTGTTGTTACTCCCCCTCCCCCTCCTCCCTCCCGTCGTCGTCAGCCGAAACAGTCGTGACGTTCCGAATGTTCCGCGCTTTTTCGATCGATCTCGCCGTCGCGCTAATTCGAGCGCTGTTGGCGCTCGTTATTACCTGAAGACGGATATGTAGAGATGAGAGAGAAAGGGGGCGGTGGTAGCGAAGAGGGCGAAGAGATAAGGGTGGCCCGCAGGGTGCGAATAACGCTGTTGGCGCTCGCGCGCGCGACTTCATTAGTTCTCGTTTTTAATTACAGGAGAGGGCGATGATTATCTCACCGTGTCGCTGAGAGACGGAGGCGCCGCGGTCGGGATGACGCTGGCCAAAGGAAGATTGGATCTGCACATAAAGCCGACCAAGGTGCGGTTCGACGATAATCAGTGGCACAAAATCTCCGTCCACAGGAAGGTTCAGGAGGTAACGATCCTGCTTTTTATCGTTTCTGTGCTTCTCCGCTCCGCTATTTCCCCATTCGCGCGACGAATGCGACCGACCGTTTGTCGCAGAGCCCGCTCGTGTTTTCGTGTTTCATCGTCAGGTCACATCGAGAGACCTCGGCGATTAGTGCGAGCCGGGTCTTGTTATTTCTCGAGGGGAGAAAAGATGGTTCGTCCGAATTTAATCGTTTTAACGCACGGAGGACAGAATCTAGTTGGGTCAGCGTGTTGGCGAACGAAGCGATCGCGTCTTGCTGAAGGGGACAATTCTCTAGTTCTTACGAATTATAAACTCGCTTCGGATCAGCAGAGATTCTTCTTCCTCCAGATATATTAGTTGTACAAATGAATAATCCAAACTTTTTAAGCGGCTAAGAGGTTAAGTTTCAAATAATCAAATTTTCCCGCTCTTTTACGGTTATGTAGGCTCAGCATACCTTGAGAAATTGTTCAGTTCAGTACAGCGAAAAATGGCAACAGATAAGGCGCATATCCGACACTGCACGAATTCCAACAAGAAAAAAATGCTGCACGATGCTGCAAAATGCGAATCGATTTGTTCTTTTCTCGGCGAAGGTGTTGTATCGTACGATGTGCGTGGATTTTGGTTTAGATGGTTTAAAAGCGGCGATTTCAGTCTGAGTGACAAAGAACGTTCTGCAGGCCTTCGAAAGGAGGCGGAAACAATGATTTGGAGCAAGCTGAGAATTCAGCACAAACGCAAAAAGAGCTTGCAGAACAGTTAGGAGTAACGCAACAATCTATTTCCAAACGCCTACACGAGCTGGGCAAGATTCAGAAAGAAGGAAAATGGGTTTCGCATAAACTCACTGAAGCTAAGCAAAAATCAATGAGTGGCGGCAGTGTATCTTGCTCTTCTCAATAAGCAGCGTAGAAAGTCTTTCTTGTGGAAAATTGTTACGGGCGACGAGAAGTGGATACTCTATGACAATCCGAAACGCAGAAAGTCATGGATAAATCCCGGCGAACCATCGACATCGATCGCAAAGCCAAAACACTTCGGAAAGAAGATTCTGCTCTGCATTTGGTGGGATATGAAGGGCGTGATTTATCATGAGTTATTAAAACCGAATGAAACGATTACTGCGGACCGCTACCAACACCAATTAATCCGTTTGAGTCAAGAATTAGAACGAAAACGCTCGTATATGGCAAAGGAGAACATCCTGTGAATTTGTTGCGTGGTAACGCTAGGTCATACGTTGTTTCTACGACAAAAGACATTATAATGAGTCTTGGCTGGGACGTCTTGCAGCACCTATTCATTAGACATAACTCCTATCGATTACCACTTGTTACGGTCGATGCAACATGCCTTGTCCGATACGCACTTGAAATCAGTGGACGAGATCCGAAAGTGACGACTTGACGACTTTATCGTGTCCAAAGACACAACATTTATCCGACATGGAATTTATCAGCTGCCTGAAAGGTGGCTTAAAGTTATAGAGAACAACGACGAATACTTTGATTGGCAAATTTGTTTTATTTTCTTTTGAAATAAACGTTGAATTTGGAAAATTTGGATTATTCATTTGTATGTGCACCCAATAAAATCCCGTCGCTTCGTTCATCGTTATGTTGATTCAGCCAATCCCTCTCCCCTACATGTCAGTCTAATATCATTGACGTTACGAGAGCAAGCCTAGAAGAATGAGTGAGTTTCGGGCCAGCGTGTACCAAGGCCTACCCCATCGAGACTTTATCGAAGCTTGGCGCACGTTGAAGCGTTGGAGCAATCGCGCGTCCTTGAAATTACCGTCAGCAGGGGTGCGAAGATAACGCTCTCGAGCTCAGAGCACGAGTTACCCCGCCGCACAGTGGGGCCAGATGACACATTTTGGTTCGAAATTCTCTAGAGACCTGAATTTCCCACCGATCATCGACACCAATGGATGAGGTTGATCCTGAATAAATTCCAAAGAGATCCGTTTAGCCGAAATTTTGAAAAAATTATCGGTTCAGGGTTCATGGGTTCATGGGTTTAGGGTTTGTCTTAAAAGTTTCGAGGCTCGAACTTAATGTTTTATAGCTGAATATTCAACGATTCGAGTATTATTAGGTTCTCGAGCTATGGCTAGATTGGGTTCTTGGACTATTTGGGGCTCTTAATATATACGGCTTCATGCATCCATGAGCTAAAAAGTTCTCGGATTGATAGATTCCTAGGTTGATGGGCTTAAGACTCAAAATCCCTCGGTTTTGTGCTTAACGGGTCTATATTTGATGTTTTTGTATTTTGGACATGAGTTTTGGGGTTTAATGGGTTTCTGCTTTAAGATCGATAAATCTCGAGGTGTCTGTTGATTGGCTTCATAGTTTCAATCCGCTGAATACGCTATTAGATAGAAATAAGTGTCGAATAATGAGTATTTCACAAGTTTCTCGCGTTTAACGATAATTTTTCCTCTTTTGGGGCTAATAATTCGAGAAAAGAATTTTTTTGTTAATTTTGGCAATACAGATCTCTTTGGAATTTATTCAGGATCAACCTCATCCATTGGTGTCTCAGGTCTCTAGAGAATTTTCAACCAAAGAATGTCATCTGGTCCCACTGTGCGCCGGCCTGACGGCAAGATTTGCCGGCTGATGTATAATCGGCGAGCAAACGTTTGATGCGTCCGAGTCCGAGTGGCTTGTCCTTCCGCTTTGAAATGTCCAATTTGAACGGCCGGAAAGTGCAAAATCCGATGCGCCGGCCGGGTACAGGCCGGCTAAAGGCGTTAAATTTTCACAGCGTCGCGATCCGAGCGGATCGGCGAGCGGACGTGGGGGCAATTTCGTTAATGCCGCGGGTATACACCAGCATTCATCGCGCATTACGCACCATAGGATAGATAACGCAATTATTTGCGCGCTGCCATCGCGAGCACCGCGAGCCGGCCGGCGCGACGCGGCGCAGCGCGACGAGAGTTATCGGTTTATCGCGGCGATATATCGGCGGCCCTTGGCCGAGTCGCAGCGCACGCGCCGCAAGTATGTCGCGATAATTAACTGCTGGCTGTGCTGCGCTCTGTGCTACGCTCGCTTCGTTAAACGGCCCCGCGTCGCCCGTCCGCAAGCCGAGAAGATTCGGCGAAGTGTCGCGTTGAGCGACGCGAGCGACGGCCGGAAGCAGCGAAGTTGGTAATTCGAGGCGCGCGCTTGCCACTTCGCGATTAATTTCAGCCTGAATTTCATTTTAATTCGACTCGTTTTTCTTTGTCGTCCCGACCAGCGGGACCGGAATTACGCAGGGGAACGAAAAGAGCAGCGGCGCGCTGTTAATGCGACCATTTACTGCTTGTTGTACGCGCACGCGAGAAATCGCGCGCGTACAGAACGAGCAAATAAACATAAAATACAAAAGTGCAAAATACAGAGATAAAATCAGAGTAAAAATCAAGTAACGGATTTATGTGACGTGCGTGCGTGATGTAACATTCGCAATTCTCATATTGACGAGACCCGGGAAAGTCCACGTCGACGTATCGATGGAATTTACTAAATCGGCAAAAAGTCCAAGGATTAATCGAGCTGCTTGACGCAATGCGGAACTTTGTCACGAAAGGAGAAGCATCGCGAGAAGTCGGCATCACCGCGATGAGAAACATGAGAGCTGCGCCAAGAACGAAGAGTAAAATCGCGCGATCTCGGAGGGTGTGGATTGCACTTTAACACGCTGGGAGACGTTCGCAAAAAATCGCCACCGCCGCCGCCGTGTGACGCAACGCAAGGAATTCTAACGCAGCGTAAATGTTATTTCGCTGCCAGGCAAGGGGGGCAGGGGGGAGGGGGAGGGCGCGAGACCTTTAGGAAAATCAATATTGTCAGAAGGATAATGCAAGACGTGTGACGCAAAGAAGGAACGAGAGGTGTCGCCAAGTGAACGCTGCAAAACGCAGGCGGAGTGTGTAAGCGTTAACGCGGAAGTCGCGCTCGGTCGGCCGCGGCTGGATTTTCTAAACTTATCTATTTCTGTCCGGCCGTTCGTTATCTTGTATCGTGAGGTAGGGAATGCGCCACTCCGCGGCCCGTACACGGTCGCGATTTAGGGGTTGCGGATGTGCAGCGCGTGAATTAGGTCGAGAACAGCGTATAGTCCGACTAATGTCCGCGGCTGCTTCGGATAATTTTGCCGAGCGCACGCTCTTCGCCCGAGTCGCTTCCGCAGCTGTGTAAACGAGCTATCGATTCGTCGAGCATGCGCCGGAGGATCGTCTCTCTCTCTCTCTCTCTTTCTCTCTCTCTCTCTCTCTCTCTCTCTCTCTCTCTCTCGCGCCCCGCAGGGCGAAAATATTTGACCGATGTTGCAACGTAAGGCAGCCGCAGCGGCCGCGCGAACGCGCACTTTTACACGCCGTCACGCTTACGGCGCCGCCAATCGGCCAACATTAGAGATACGCGTTGTCCGCTCCTGCGGATATTTCCAATCGACTCTTTTTAGTTTATCACGATAATAACACGACAGGCACTCGTGATGAGTAAAGCCCTAGATTAACCCTTTCACTGTTAGTGGAAAGTATACTTCCCACCTTTTCTCGATTCAATTTTGCGTTGTAAATCACATAATTTTGAAGGACTAATCGAGAATTTGAGTCTTCCAGATGAATAGTTGTTCAACATACTCCAATAGGTTTTTATACCCAATTATTCATTTGTGATTATTTATAACAAATCAAAGTTGAAAAAAATGCTTTTTTTAGAAAAAAATCGATTCCTCGGAGAGTATTGAATGTAGAGGTCCGAAATTTTCACCAAATATTTTTCTGACGTTGTACAAAAACGTATATATTTTTCAGTATTTTTTTGCAGGTTAGATTTTTTTTCATAAACAAATATTTCTACAAAAACGGGCGAAATTTGATTTTTTTGCACTTTTTAGCTCTATTTTCCTAGTTTTTTCATTCTGTATCTCCATCTTATCCATACCATCAATATTATTTTACTCAATATATATCATCAATAATAATCGGAATT